AGAATCTCATTATGCCTCCCTCGGGCGCCACGAAAATAAGTCTGATTCCGGCTTGAGATTTCTCTAGATTTGGAGGCCGAGCACGTTTGATTGATGATGCTCCATCAAAGTACATTTCCCATACTAGTAGCGTCTCCTATTCTTCAACATTCATGATCTGCTCGTCAGGTAGATCATCGTTGAGCGGTGAATCTGCAGGGATAGGATGTGCAGCGAGAAAATCTGCCAACACCTGTCCTTTCACTGCCTTTTGAGGAACATATATGATATCAAACTGTAGTAAAATCACTGCCCACCTTGCCAAACGATCTGTCAACGCTGATCTTGTCATCAAGAACTTCAGCGGATCGATCTTTGATATCAAGGTGATTTTGTGAGATAGCATATAATGGCGGAGCTTCTGAACTGCGAAAATCAGGGCCAAGCAGTGCTTCTCAATTGGAGAGTAGCGAATTTCTGCTCCTATCAATCTCCGGCTGATGTAGTAGAGTGCATTCTCCTTGCCTTCTTCATTATGCTGAACCAATAGTGCTCCGAGGGACTCTTCTAGTGCTGCCGTATACAGTATAAGAGGCTTCCCCGGGATTGGCGCCGCGAGAATAGGAGGATTCAACAGATATCTTTTGATGCTGTCAAATGCTTCTTGGCACTCTTCATCCCATTTGAATCGAACATCTTTCTTCATTAGTTTTGAAAAAGGCTGGAACCTACCCGACAGATTCGATATGAATCTCCGAATGAAAGCCAGTTGACCTTGTAGGGAACGGACTTGTCGGAGGCTCTTTGGAGGTGGCATCTCTATGATTGCCTTGATCTTGTTGGGGTCGACTTCGATGCCTCGATGTCGGACAACGTACCCTAGGAATTTCCCTGAGGATACTCCAAATGCACACTTGAGAGGGTTCATCTTTAGATGATATTTTCTGATTCTTTTGAACACGATCCTCAAGTCATCTAAATGATCTTTTCGGTCCATGCTCTTAATGACCAAGTCATCTACATAATATTCGACCTTTTGATGGATCAAATCATCAAATATACGAGTCATCGCTCGTTGTTAAGTGGCACCAGCATTCTTCAGGATGAATGGCATAACTATGTAGCAGAATATGCCTATGGGTATTCTGAATGATGTATGTCTTTCATCTTCAGGTGCCATTTTGATTTGATTGTAGCCTGACGATCCATCCATGAATGAGAACATGTCGTAGTTGGAAGTATTGTCAACGAGAAGTTCTGATACTGGAAGCGGAAAGTCATCTTTTGGGCACGCCTTATTGAGGTCCCTGAAGTCGATACAGATACGAATCTGACCATTCTTCTTCTTTACAGGGACGATATTGGCAATCCAGTCGGCATATTTTTCTTCTCGGATGAAGTCTGCTTCTATGAGCTTCTTTGTTTCTGCAATCACCTACTCTTCGATCTCCAATCTCATTCTCCTTGGAGCTTGTTTGACGGGTGCTGCATCAGGCTTGATGGCTAATCTGTGAACTGCCACATCAGGGGATAAGCCAGGCATCTCAGCATATGTCCAAGCAAAGTAATATCTGAATTCACAAAGAAGCTCTTTCATTTCTTCAACTTGATCTTCTGGTAGAAGAGAGCTAATGAAGGTTGGGCGAGAGTCTTCCTCAGTTCCCAAGTTGACTTCTTCGAGCTCGTCCATCGTAGTAGCTTGTCCACCATCTTCCAGTTCTTCTGGTGTAGGCTCAGCCTCTACGGGTTGATCATCACGAGCATCAGCTTCATAAATCTCATCGCCATCATCATTGGATTCAATTTTCATGCATGTGATTGTCTGAAAAATCTCTTTCCGGAAGAATTTTCTTTTGATGAATCCGATACCTTTATATGTATCTATATCTTTTCGTCGTAATGGACGTGGATTCCTTCCATACCAGAGGCCCAAGCTTGTACGAAGTTGTCGCTTTGTAGTAGGAATATTAATTTGCTTTCGTAGCATTCTTTGAATATTCTTGGTATTGAACTTGGGTAACCTCGTAGGAAATAGTTCTTCGAAATCGAGGAGCATGCAATCCCAGTCATGATTCTCCTCTTCACGAACTCTCGTAGAATATAGCACATTCTTTGGTATAGTCCCATTTTTATGGGGAGGCAGATAGAGGGTGGCGATTTCTTCAACTTTATGAACCTCACGCGAAATGAGTTCTTTGAAATGTTGCAAAGGAACACGCGTGACTATGAGTATGTTGTCTGAAATTGACAGATTGTCTATTCTTCTAGAGAACACATTCTGCACCGTGTTCATATAAATAGAATCGTAGTCATAATCATCATTTGAAAATTCAACCTACCTACTCCATTCATCCGTGGACTGGCATATTTTTCGACATTTTGCAGGAGTAACATCATCTTCATCCGTGTCACTCCCAAGATGAGGTACATGCTTCTTTCCTTTGGGAATGCTTGGTGCTTTTGGAAAAGTCGGCATTGCCTTCTTTCTTCCTACACGCTTCTTCTCATCTTCTTGCTTGGATTTCTTTGCAGCCTTTGAATTTGATGCCTTAGCCTCAAGGGGACTCGAAGGCTTTTGCTTCTTTGGCATGAAGTGCTTAGCATCTTCATAAGCTGTTACCTCATGTACTGCAAAGGGCTGAATATCACTAGAAACACTGAATTCTTCTCCTTGTCTGAGATACTTCATGCACTGGTGTAATGTTGAAGGGACAACGCCGTATTCATGCAGCCAGGGGCGACCCAATAACGCCTTGAACGAAGTGTCCGCATCAATTACATGGAATTTGGCTTCTGTGTGAAGTTTTCCAAATACAAGAGGAAGCATAAACGATCCAAGGGTTTTCTGTCCTTTCTCATTGAAGTCGTGTACCATCAACTTGTCTTGGCCAAGATGCTCTACGTCGAGACAGAGGGATCTCAAAGCTTTCAAGCTCATGAGATTTACGGAAGATCCAGGATCGATCAAAATTTGTCTGATCATCATACCGTCGCTCTTTGCCGTAACATATAAAGGGCGATTGTGATCTGCCGTTCCAAGCATCATATCATCCTCAACAAAGGTGATGAGAGGATCATTTCGAGCTTGCAAGACTTCCGTCAAGTTGCGTTCAACAAAATATGTCTCATATCTTTCGGGGTCCTTGAGAGCTTGAATCAAAGTTTCTCGAAGGTCTTTAGACATCAAGAGAGCATCATATATGCTGAGTTGCGCTGGGATCTTACTCAAGTGGGATAAGATATTGTAATCTATCCCCTTGGATAAAGTATTATTTTTCTTGGGATCTTCAAGGATAATATCTTCATTGATAACTATCTCTTTTCCCTTATCTTTATTAGGGATCCTGTTCTTTGGTGGAGACGGCAGTACCTTGCCACTTCTCAACTGTATTTAGGCCACCTCATCTGATTCAGATTTGTTTGATGAATCATTATCTTCAGAGTCAGCCATTGTAGTGTCTGGGGATTCACTTGTAAACTCGGAATTGTCTCCCAATTTCACTTGTTTCATTTGTAATTCTATGCTTGGGTTTTAATCTTCATCATCTGGAAAACATAGATCATCTGAACTGAATTCCATTGATGAGACCATTAGACAGAACTCAGGGGCCGCTTCTTCAGCGTATTTCTCCCTTTCTGTTGTCGTTGAGATGATTTGACATATCTCTGTAGGAAGAGATTCAGCCTCAGCTTTTTCTTCATTTTCATCTATTTTAAACTCTTTCATAAAATCACCGAGCTTAACAGACCTCCTAACAGTCTGGTAATATTCACCCAAACTATCAATAGCCTTTTGAGTTGCAGTCTTCTTTACCACAGACTTCTTCAATTTGGATTTCTTCTTGAAAGACTTTGGCTTTTCTTTACTAGATTTGAATGAGCTAGCTTGGCCAGGTTGCTGTTTAGAGGTGGATGCTTGTGATACAGGCAACCATTTTAAGTTCAGTACTGGCTCAGTAGGAGATTTCCACTTGACACCAGGAACTCCTTCTAGCTGTTTCAACATTTTAGTTGTCTTGTTGGAGACGACGGTCTCCCATTTCTCATCTTGAATAGGTTCTTTCATTTTTTTCTTTAGGCGGGAGTACGGAAGAGGATGTCACCACCCGGGTGGATTCCTTTTTAGGACGAACTAACACATTATCTGATAATGTTAATTCTCCCATTTTATATTTCTTGTCTATCCAATCTTTGAAGACATAACAATCCTCAATTGGATGGCTATTACTCGATGATATGGGCAGTAGTTTGGGTCGCTACTGTGTTTGGACTCTTCAGGTCTTTTGTATTCTGGAAACTCCAGACCATTCTTGAGTGCTTGTCGGAACAATTTAGCGACACTCTCCCTCTTAAATGAATATTCTTTATTCATTTTCTCTTTGAGGGAAGGGAATGTTCTATCACCAATTCCTGTAGTTTTCCTTTGACACTCTCCTCCACCAGGAAAGGTTCGAGGTTTGTCATTTCCTCCAAGAACTAGTTTTGGCTGAGAATTTAGATTGTAAGCCTGTTTTTATTTTTCTTCATACTGCATAGGCTGTTTTCCTTTATCCACATTATATACTGCCCTTTTACTTTTATCAGGTCTAGGAGGGAATGCGGAGTAAACATCATTTCTCCTAGCATCAGGCGCCTTAGCCTTTTTAAGTTTGTCAGGGAGGCTTTCAGACTTTGATAAGTTTAACTTCTCAAATTTTGCCACCCTATCCAATAGATCTTGGAAGGTAGTAATTGAAGCCATGCACAAGAAATGTTGCATTTTGTCATCAATGTTTCCCATCAGTAGTTGAACTGCATGTTCTTCTTCTAATTGCTGCTCGCACTTCATACTGAGATTGCGCCAGCGTGTTATGTATCTAGTCACTGATTCATCCTTTCTCCTTTTATCGAGAGCAAGATCAACGATAGTAGTCTTATCTATTGCACTGGCAAATCTTTTCACGAACAAGGCCTCTAGTTCTGCGAAGGTCTTCAGAGAATCATTTGGCAGCTCGGCATATCATTCGAAAGCAGTTCCACTCAAGCTGCTTACGAATTTCCTGAATAGTAGAGCATCATTACCCCCTGTGTTCCCACAGGTAGCTTTGAATTGTGCGAGATGCTGCCTGGGATTTTTATTTCCATCGAAGATGTTAAACTTCGGTACAGAATATCCCTTTGGATAGGGCACTTGATCGTATTCTGTCGGGTACGGGCGACTTTTTCCTACCAACTTCTCTGCCTGTTCAGCAGCTATAATGGCCTTGATCTTTTCACTGATTAAGCCCTCCAACTGCGATGCAGTTACAGGTTCAGAGGCACTCGCCATATTTTGTGGAGTACGCTGGCAGATTGGATCATCAATTTCTTTGCCACCTTCAAGTACACCTTTCACTCTTGAGGCTTGAGGAGCTTGAGGGTTTTGAGAATTAGCAGCTTGGTTGACGGGTTGAGCCGGTGCAGGCCCACAGAAGTGGTCTTCTGCATCATTTCCATCATGGCCGTCATTTGAGTCATCATCTCAGCCATTTTATCATTTAACTGAGAGATTTCTCTGTCTTTTCTTCGCATCTGTCGCCTCATTTGATTTCTCATTTCAGCGAGTGTGATATCTTCGCCAGCGAAGGGATTTTTTCCGACCTCTTCCTCTTCCTCATCTCCTTCTTCTGAGGAGCGAGCACTTCGGCTGGCAATGGATCTAGCCCTGTGACGGCGTCGATAAACACGAACGTGCGGCTGTGATTGCTGTTCTTCTTCATCACCATCATCTTCTTCAACATCAATGTGGCTGACCATACGAAACACTTCGATTTCCATAGTACATCATCGACATATTCTTCTTCATCTTCTTGTACCTGAATTTCTGAGCGGCGTCGCCACTGAATTTCAGGCTCTTGACTTGGAATGATTACTTCTTCGATCCGCTGACTACAATCGAAATGAACTTTCTCTTTGGATGAAGTAGGAGAATGATGGGATCTCCTGGAAGACTCTCCAGGATGTCGACTGTCATTATAATTGTCGTCATTATGGGC